CCTTCCCTGTGGATGTGGTAGTTTATGTCAGGGTGCAGGTATACCCGCGTTCTTTCAAGCAATACTCAGTAGTAACCATCTTAGAGTGATTGGTTAATTTCATTGTTTGTTTCTCAGCCATCTCAAATCCGGTTCAGCTGTCTGCCCATGTCTCGAGTAGAGTGCATGCTGAAACTTCCCTCTCTGGACCTGGTTTTCTCATCCAATAGGGGTGAGCTTGAGCCCACCGCCACCACCTATCCATCTGAGGGCCCTCACACACCTTCCTCCACACCTCCATCGGTACACAATGCCAACAGAGTGCCTGGAAGCAAAGGTATGTATGTACTGTACTGAAAATCTCTCTTATGTAATTTTGAAATAAACTACCATTCAAAATTTTGGGGTCAGTAAGTAGTGTTTCTTTTAGTTCGTATTAGTTTGAGGTTGAATTGGCTAATGGTAAGCACTGAAACTCCTTCCATCCCTCAGGGCCATCCACAGGATTAGGCAGTCCTCTAGGCCGGAGTCGCCACCACAGCAGCCAATCAGATCTAACAGCGCCACCCATAAACTCATCAGGTCTGAGTTTCACTGCCTGTATGTCAGATTTTTCACTGTATGTGTTTCATCCTTATGGAGCCGGCAAACAGAAGTCTGCAGTTACTGGCCTCCCACCTGGACCAGGACCGCTGGGTAAGCGCTATTGCATAGCCAACACTCATAGACAGTTTATATGTAACATCAACTTACATACTGTAAAGAACATTGTAAGACTCTGGAGATGACTTTGGTTTGTTTAGGAGCAGTGGACGAGGAGGCTTCTTCAGTGACGGGCAGGAAAGACTCTCTCTCCATCAACTTGGAGTTTGTAAAAGTCAGTCTTTCCCGGATGAGACGGGCAGGAAGTCCAGCATTTATTGATACTTCAGTTGCCAGCAAGGGCGGGAAGATGGATACAACTCTTATCAACATCTCAGGTGAGGAATTCAAAATAAAGTACTGGGGTGTCCTTGAGGATGTCTGATGTATCACCTTACTAAGGCTTTTTCCATATGTTTCATACTTTAGCATTGTGCTTGAATGCTAAAGTGTTACACTACCATTCAAATATTTGGGGTCGGTAAAATGATTTTTTTTTTT